ATTAAAAGAAATTTACAATTAATACTAAAACTAAAATTAAAATTAAAATTAAAACAAAATTACAATTGCATAAAAATAAATTAAAATTAAAATTGTAATTAAATTAAAATGAAATGAAAAATAACTTGCGAAGCAGAATATTGAAAGTATTAAGTACGAAAGCCTGGTAAATATGACAGTTGTTTAATTTTAGTAAACTCCAAGAAGAGAAGAATTCTAGAAAAAGTGCTTAGGCCGAAGGATGTAAATCATAAGGGAAAGACACTGGCAATTGAAATCGATCAAAAATCAACCGAAACGAGACGGAGGAAAATTCTTAAAGAAAACAGTTGCAGATAGATGGCGCTAAAAGCACCTTGGTTCAAATTTTCAGACTGTTTTACATAATATTTTTGCTAAGATGTGTCTTATTGCACAAAGACAAGTAAATCGAAAAATTATATTATTGCCAAATGATGCTCATTTGCTCACGTGCCTACATTTAGGTCTTACAATATAAAAAAAGTATTAATATAATCATTGGCTTACCACTAAACAAAATGTTCTACTTGACGCTATTACTTTAAAAAAATAATAATAACTTTCTGTAACCAACCCCAATAATCCATGCTTCTATCGAAATTTCAAAATTTTAGATAACAGTGCTCATATTTGGTATATCATAAGCAAATTTCTGCGTGAATTCCATAGAAACGCACCAAACACTGTTTATTTAATTGCAAGTCTATTTATTGCATCAATTAGTGAATTAAATTCAAATATGCGTAAAACCACAAATGTAAGCAAATAAGATGAATGATGTGTTAATGTTTGGGAATTGAATATAGCGCAAAAATCGGGCAGCTTGATGATGAGTGATTGATTGTTAATAATGTAGTTAATGAAGTGAAATTTAATTTGCGCGTCAAGTGGATTAATGAAGTGCAAAAATCAACAAAAACAAAAAAAAAATAAAAATATAATTAATTGAGAAAAYTTAAAACAACAATGCTGGAACTGAGGACGCAGAAGATGTAAATTAATAAAAAAAAAAAAGAAGAAAAAGAAATACAGTCGTTAAACAATAAATACTAAAAAATCCTGAAACAACAAATAAAATATTTAATGACCTATAATTTATTTAAATTGCGGCAAAAAATGCAAAAAGTTCATTTTTTTTTTAAATCTAAAATGTAGATTGAAATGATGAATATTTAAATAATCTTTCTAAAGCTGGAAAATATTTCAGCCACTAATGACTCACTAAGAGCCCTTAAATCGCCGTTCAATGTCTGTGATACCCATTATAAGCAAAACTTTTAATAACATATAAGTGGATACTATAATTTTTTGCCAAAATCAAAAATAAAACATTTAACGCCAAATATTAATCATGCAGTATATGCCAAACTGTATGTCTGTATGTAAATATTGAACAAAAAATGAACATTTGTTCCAGAGTTTACTATAAACCCCTCATAAGGTGCTATTATTTTCACTTGTCGCCGATATCTGCCTACTATAGCATATATGTAGTTGCCATATAAACTGGTCGCTCACAACCAAGTCCTTCTGTTGAAAACTTTTTAATACTAAGATATTAATAAGATACATATGTATGTATAAGGAATTTGACATGAATTATTTCCCAAGTCAAGGGTATAATCTCCGAACAAATCGTTCAGAACGCGCCACTATAGCAAATAGCTGTCAAACAAACTGATCGGTCGAAATTAAGATAATGCCTTCATAAGGAACTAAACTAAACTAAAACTTAAACTTACTTAACTTAACTTAACTCGACTTATCTTCACATAATTTAACTTAACTTAACTTAACTAAACTTTACATACATACTATTACATTTTTAATCAACTCTTTTTTTGAATATTTTTTTTATTTCTTAAATTTATACTATGATATTATATATTTTCTTGCTTAACTATAAACCTAGTAATATATCATTGTATCCGTATAAAAAAACCCTTTTCAACAAATAAAGAGCAGGTGAAAGTTATAACTACCACCGCCATGGCCTAGTTAACATTTTAATACAATTCTGTTACAGCGTAACTCAAAAGGGCCAAAGAAAACTACGCACAAGAGGCGAGCAAATAATGCATTAAAATTGCATTGCATATCATTTGACTTGCAAAAGCCTGAGCAAAAGGATAACACTGAAAAGTAACAAGACAAAGGGCGAAAGGAATGCGAGGGGCAATGAGCTGGCTTGACAACTAAAGGAAAAATAAAGAGTTGGAAAATAATATATAGTACATATGTATATATACATACCAATATATATGTATGTATGTACATATTTATGTGTTTGCGTATGACTGTGGTGTGATGGCCAACTGACGAACTGTTGATTGGCAAATTGACAGCAAG